CATGGCAACAACGTGGGATGCTATTAAATCTATTTCGAGATTATTTTAAAATGCGACGTTGATTTTTCAAATCATTAACTATTCATCAAACACATATGTGTGACATCTGCCTGGCCCATAATCATGCAACTTAATGGACACAAGCTGTTACGCGATCACATTCAATTGTTTTTTCAATATGTGCTCCCTGTCGCTGCGCCAGATTTATCGAGCACTATAAATCCTCGGATTTTTTTCGTTTTCAAAACACTTTCCAACTCACACAAATCGAAGCTGTTGATTCGCAAAATGGCATTATATGGTCCTTTGCTTTATGCATGGTTACCATTGCTGGTATTCTTTTTACAAGCATTTCACGGTGGATCTGCACACAGTAAGTTTATAGATTAAATCTTATAGACCTATGATATTCTGCAGTATAATGAAAACATATGTTGTGACAGCTACACTTCTAGCAGATTGGTTGATCTAGATGATTCAACTTGCTACCTAAACAAAATTAGAACTGTCGCCCAGTTTTTGTACCTTCGTTATAGTTGCGTGACCATTTCATGTCATCTAACACAACCCGAGTCGATAATATAAAGTTCAACAACCAGATTTATTCATGCAATCCCAAAAAAAATGCATTCACTTTCCTTTCTCTGATAAATTTTGCAATGAAATTCATTTCTGTATGATTCAGAGAAAACAACCAAGGACATGTTGATGCTGCTACTTCTATCTATGATGTTGTCAACTTTTGTAGGTGAAACATTCTGCGATAATTTCGATCTTAGACATTCCACCCTGTTGCCTCATCACGATTCACATCAATTCCATTAAGTACCAGATTTACGAATGACACCTGCCAAACCTATACCTACAATAGCATGGGTTTTCCTAGCCACATTTTTTTGAATAAAACCACAATAAATTTCTCGCCAAACCATATCACTTTCAACCTATCCAGAATACGTTCTTTCGCGCGATCTTGAACATAGAGAAAACCGTCTCACGCAGAGAACTCATTCAGTCAAATTTCAGGAATTCCAGGAATACGAACCGATAGGACACCGACGGAATTCCAAACAATTCCTACTCTCTTACATTCGGTTATCATTCCCTGTTTCTCCTTCTGTAGGTGTGCCATCAACTAGCAAAGCCGCACATGAGTCACGTCCGCATCGGCACCCAATTAGACTTTCCACCAACACTCTAAAAACGAATACTCTGTTTTAGGTTCCTGCAGTCAAAACAATGGTGGATGTGATCAAAACGCTCTTTGTTCAGACGACCCAACTACAGGCACAACGAAGTGCACCTGTAAAACTGGTTATACCAACACTGGTTGTGATGACAACGTTGTCTGCGCAGGTATGATGATCTTGGCAAGATGGAAACATTCACTCATCATCTTTATATTTCAGATAGTTGCACTGTCAACAATGGAGACTGTCATTCAAACGCCGATTGCTTGCATGATGCTACCACAAATGCAGTGCAATGCATTTGTAATACCGGCTACACCAACACAGGTAGCGGCTCCAACGTTGTCTGCAAAGGTATGATGATTTCAAGTACGATGAAAGCATTCCCTCGTAATGTATATATTTCAGATAGTTGCACTGTCAACAATGGAGCTTGTGATGACCACGCCGTTTGCTCACACGATGCTAAGACAAATGCAGTAGTATGCACCTGTAAAGCTGGCTATACCAACACAGGTGGTGGATCCAACGTGGTCTGCACAGGTATGACAATTTAAGATGGAATTAGAAACATTCCCTCCGTATCACTTGATTTCAGACAGTTGCACGGTCAGCAATGGAGCTTGTGATGAAAACGCCGTTTGCTCACACGATGCTAAGACAAATGCAGTAGTATGCACCTGTAAAACTGGTTATACCAACACAGGTAGCGGATCTGAGGTTGTCTGCACAGGTATGATAATTTCGGATGTAATCAGAAAGATCCCCTCCGCATTTCGATCTTTCCAGACAGTTGCACTGTGAACAATGGAGGATGTGATCCAAACGCTGCTTGCTCACACGATGGAACTACATACGCAGTAATATGCGCTTGTAAAACTGGTTATACCAACACAGGGAGCGGATCTAACGTTGTCTGCACAGGTATGATAATTTCGGATGCAATCATAAAGATTCCCACCGCATTTCGATCTTTCCAGACAGTTGCACTGTCAACAATGGAGGTTGTGATTCAAATGTCCCCTGCTCACACGATGCTACCACATATGCAGTAGTATGCACCTGTAAAACTGGTTATACCAACACAGGTAGCGGATCTGAGGTTGTCTGCACAGGTATGATGATTTCTGATGGAATCAAAAACATTCGCTCCTCATCCCTATACTTCAGACAGTTGCACTGTGAACAATGGAGGATGTGATCCAAACGCTGCTTGCTCACACGATGGAACTACATACGCAGTAATATGCGCCTGTAAAACTGGTTATACCAACACAGGTAGCGGTTCGAAGGTTGTCTGCACAGGTATGATAATTTCGGATGGAATCAGAAAGATTCCCACCGCATTTTGATCTTTCCAGACAGTTGCACTGTGAACAATGGAGGTTGTGAACGAAATGCATTTTGCTCACACGATACTAAGACGTATGCAGTAGAATGCACCTGTAGAACTGGTTATACCAATACTGGTCGCGAACGCAACGTTGTCTGCAGAGGTGTGCTCATTTTTGAGAGAATATGAAAGATTCCTTCGTTATTTCTATCTTTCCAGATAGCTGCACTGTCCAGAATGGAGGTTGCGATCGAAACGCTGCTTGTTCACACGAAGCTAGGACAAATGAAGTAATGTGCACCTGTCATCCTGGCTTTACCAATACTGGCAGAGGCGTCACGGTTGTCTGTACAGGTATGATGATTTCGGTTGAAATTGGTAACTTCTCCGGAACATTTGTCTGCTTTCAGACAGGTGCACTCTGAACAATGTAGGTGATGATCCCAATGGCATTTGCACACGTGATCCTAGGACCAATGCAGTAAAATGCACGTGTAAAGCTGGTTTTATTAACACGTGTACTGCCGCCAAGGTTGTCTGCAAAGGTATCATGGTTTTGGATAGAATTTGAACCATTTCTTCGTGATATCTATTTTCAAGATAGTTGCAATATCAAAAATGGAGGTTGTGATCCAAACGCTGCTTGCTCTCATGATGATGTGACAAATGCGGTAAAGTGCACTTGTAAAGCCGGCTATACCAACACTGGTAGTGCGGTCACAATTGTCTGCAAAGGTATGGTGATTTCGGATAGATTTAAACATTTCCTCGTACTTTCTTTCTTTTCAGATACTTGCACTATCAAAAATGGAGGTTGTGCTCCAAATGGAGCTTGTTCACATGATGCTACGACAAATGCGGTAAAATGCACCTGTAAACCTGGTTATACTAATATTGGTAGCGACGACAACATGGTCTGCAAAGGTATGATGAATTCGGATACGATTAGATAGATTTCGTGGGCATTTCTGTATTTCAAGATAGTTGCACTGTGAACAATGGAGATTGTGATCGGAACGCCATTTGCTCACACGATGCTAAGACATATGGAGTAAAGTGCACCTGTAAAACTGGTTATACTAACAGCGGGAGCGGCGTAAACGTTGTCTGCACAGGTACGAAAATTTCTGGCAAAGTGGAAATATTCCCTCGGCATTTATATCTTTCCAGATAGTTGTGCTGTCAATAATGGAGCTTGTGATCGAAACGCTGCTTGCTCGCATGATGCTAAGACAAATGCAGTAACGTGCACCTGTAAAGCTGGTTATACCAACACTGGTAGCGTTGCCAAGGTTGCCTGCACAGGTATGATGGTTTCGGATTAGATTAGAAGCATTTCCTTGTGATTTCTAATTTTCAGATAGTTGCACTGTCAAAAATGGAGGTTGTGTTCCAAACGCAGGTTGTTCACATGATGGTAGGACAAATGCAATAATATGCACGTGTAAAACTGGTTATACCAACATTGGTAGCCCTGTGAAGGTTGACTGCAAAGGTATTAGGATTTCGGATTGGATTGAAAAGACTTCCTCGTCGTTTCGTTATTTGTAGATAGTTGCCATGTCAACAATGGAGATTGTGACCCGAACGCTTTTTGCTCGCATGATGCTAAGACAAATGTAGTGAAATGCACCTGTGCACCTGGTTATACCAACACGGGATCGGGGTCGGATGTGATATGCACAGGTACGGTTTGTGTCTCGTAGAGGGTAAAGTATTTTGGTGTCGTTTTCTTCGGGTATGCGAAATGTTGTGTTGTGTTACGTTATTCATCGCTTCATGTACGAAAGAATTCTTCTATTGTTCTCATTTAGCGTGTTTGCCCTAATAGTTATCGTAGTCTTTCGCTTCTTATATGCTTTTGCCTTCGTATATGAGCATAGGCGTCGCATGTATGAAAGTGTACTGGTATAAAATGGGAAGAATCAGTTGTAGCTAGCAAAATTTGCTTTCTCCTACTTTCTCTTTAAAAGAAGTGAAGGAATTTTATAGCTTACTGGATCAAATTGGGGGTGATGCTGATAGGTATAATTATCTGTGATTGAATTTTAGAATTAGTGAACGTGTTGTTGTAACAATCAGGTTGTTTTTTCCTATAAAACGGTGTTGGTGATCCGTAAATTTAGAACTGAAACTGTATGGTGTTTTTGGAGTTTCAGTCGTATACGAAATGTGATGCGAAGCAAGAATCCGTATCTCGTGCGAAAAATCTTCAATTGATAGATGTTAATGTTATTTTTGTATAGCCATAATGTAATTCATCACTGAGAAAGCTCTATTTTTACTTAGCGATACATTCTTAAGGGTCGATTTCGATTGATCGATTCATTTTCTCCATGATTCATTATCTTAGATCTGCTGTAAATGAATAGACTATAGTGTGTAACATATGTTTATGACGTCAATTTAATTATCTCGGAGCAAAGTTCTTTCATTTGCGTCATTTTGGATATAAATTTCTCAGAGACGGAACTTCAGATTAAAGATTCGGAAACAGGTGTTATAAGTTCAATCTCGATACTTCGATCTGACGTTTTAACTAATTTTCTACGACTTTGTGTTCGCAAGATCATCGCGTCACAAAAGGACGAAAAAGATGCGCGCGTCGAGAAAAAAAGAAAAAGAAAACACCCGACGGATTACATAAATGATATGCTTTGCATCGCATTAATTATAGTATCACCTTTCAGACACGTACTACTAGTGTGCTCATTCTAATGTCAGCAATGAGCTTATAGATAGCACGAGTGTAGAGATAGGGCAATGTATTTCGGTGTCACGGTTATACTAATAAGAAACAGCTTTTTAAAATCTATCGAAAACTTGCAGCTTTTTTCTTATATCAATCAATTTGATATGACTGGTAAACTGTGAAATTTCTTCAACGTGTTCATGCAATTCAATAAACTCACCAGAATTGGTTGCATTCCGTTGATTTGTAAGAAATTCACAATAACATCACAAGTATACATAGGATAAGCGACGCCATAGTATCTTACTTTTCCGTTCACAAATCTTCGATTCTGACCGATGCGGCATAAAGATATTGGATTGAATTTGCGTGTCTTACACAGATTGTGTGTTAAACTTATGTCCATGGTGCGTGTGAATACTTATATCGATTGTTCTTAATCAATATCATTTCAACTACTCCTATTGCGCCTCGAAAAGGTGATCATAAGAAAAGAAATAGGTAGAAAAATGTTCTTTTTGTTTACCCTTCGAAAGGAATAGGCACTTGATAATAACACATAAAGCGATGGCCACAATGGTACCCATGTGAAACAAAATCGTAAAATATCTGATTATAATTGATTTTTATAAGATTAGAAAGCTATTTTAATGGCACTATTATAATCTGATTTTAACCAGATTTTTCAACCTTAAAAGGCAGATTATTTTTGATTTTGATTTTACTTTAATCAATTTTAATTGATTATCTACAAAATTGTTATAATCGATTAAAATAAAATCAAAATCAAAAATAATCTGTCGTTTAAGGTTGAAAAGGTTGATTGAAACGAGATAAAAATAGTGTCATTATAATAGATTTTTAATCTGATTATTAGTCCATCTTTTTGCATGGATAATGCGAGAATTCGCGAGTAGGGGTGGTACTGTACGTTAGTTTAATATTAAGTGTTAAGTAAAACCACTTAATGAACTCAAATTAAAATCAACGGCCCACCCCTAATACTGAGTCTTTAATCAATATATATTTAGACAAACAAAATAACGCTTGTTCTTAGAGTTAATAATTCTAATGGCTTTTCAATGCCTACTATAGCCTATTAAAAGGTCGATGATTGATAAGTAATTTATAATTTACAACCCTTATGTGTAAATCATTTCAGTTGGCGTCCTTTATTTGGACAAGAATATGTTCTAGAATCTGTAATAGGACAGTATTAAAACACAAGACTCGATGCACTAAGATTATAACTTGTTGTTATTACTCTTCTCTAGCAATATGATCTGAAAAAAATCTTCGTTATCATTATTTTTGTTGTATTAGAGATACCATATCAACCAACGGCAAATCAAACAAAAGAGCCATGTTTTTATGGTAAATGTTCGTGTACTGGTGATCCTCATATAATTCCGTTTGCATCATCGTATCGGGGACTTCAAACTCAATATTTGTATCAAGTACAGGGCTGGAGCGTGCTCATTAGTAATATTTTCGTTACGCTGTATATTTTTAATGCACCGTGTCCTTATCTTGTTACTAATGTAAGAATTACTTATTTTCATTTGTCACGATTGAACGAAGAAAAAAAATTGAATTTTTTGCTATTCTAGTACGTTTTGATTTTCCATGGTGCATCCCCTTGCATAGTTATTGGTAATAGTAAAAGTAAAAGTCCACCAATGTGCGCTAACACTACATCGGCCACATCAACGACGTTATCAGCTGGTTCATCGTGGACTCATTTCCATAATACAAAATGTATTGTAGTGCACGTCGACTATCAGGTATGTTTCAATAATTCCATAATGTGTAGTATTAGTTTAATTCATGATCATCTCCTTTTTTGTAGGGTGGATATTACAATATTCATATCTATCATTCATATACGTTGATCAATTTATCGGCTGGTCAATGTCGACAAACGCATGGCAGAATAGAGGGAGCGTCTAAAGCATCACTGAGTGTCATTCCTGAAGTATGCAATATTTTTATTGCTGCTGCTAAAAAGCGAGCCGTAGGTGCTATCAATCCAAATGTAATTAAGATGGCTCAGACGTCGTGCAACAATGATCTGCAAACGTCACTTGATGCAACAGTATGAAAACAAACTATGCATCTTTCATTCAATCATTTCATGTTGATTTCTTTAAATTAGATTGCTGTCGCAGGTATTTCCTTGGTTCTTCATGATAGTGCAAGCTCACAGCTTGACTCTGATGATCAAACTGGACTTTTCCATCAAATTCACGCATTAAAACATGATGCGTTTTTGAATGCAACCCACGAAGCGAACGAATTGATTAGCAATACGAAAGAACTTTGTAATGAAAAAGACCAATGTTTAGGATCAGTCAATAACATTAAACACTAATGTTTTCCACTGTTCTTATAACTGGGTGTGGGTGTGGGTGTGGGTGTCTATTATGTTTTCATTTAACATACATATCTTTGCTATAATAAAATTATTGGAGCAGTCCCAACAGGGATGGGGGGCAGAAGAATCCAGTCCCTTGGATTCAAGTGGAATCACATGAAATCTCGTAAAATGATTTCCTATTTATTTGAAATCCATTTTAAAAATTCAATACTACTATTTTTTTCTGTTTGTATCGTATGTACTAATAGGTAAAATTTTTATTAGTCTTGATTCTCATACAAGTATACATTATCTTTCTTTATTCTCATATAGCACATTCTTTATTTCAAGAATTGAAAGTCAGTACAGAGCTGCTCACCTATTGAAAATAAATGAAAAAAGTATTATATAAAGAAAAAAACAATCAACTTTTTTTTATTAATCTGTTGTACTCAAAGTAGAACCCATCGGGTCCAAGAATTTTTGGACCACAGACCCGGACCCGGTATATCAAAAGCGTTTGAACCCATACTAGTGGTAACACTAAAACTTTGAAACTACTCTGATAGAATTATTCAAATTGGAGTGAACCCCCTACCATATTAGTAGATCAAGCAAATTGTATGACGCAAAAACTATTAAAAGTTTGAAAAATGGTGTTCTTATAGGAAACAGATTAGTTTCTTAGGAGGGGTTTAGTGTACTTCAACTTTTATCTTTAAATTTAAAGCTAAAACAAGCATATTTTTAAGTTTAAATTTCTAAAAAATCAAAATTTAAAAAATATTTTCTGAAAATCTTTCTTTTGTTAAAATTATTTTTTGATGCAACACAAATAGTTCTGAACAGAAAATTTCTTTCAATGAAAGAATCTATTTGAACTTTAACTCTTTGGAATGCAAATTTTCATCATGCTTTTTTTAACTTGAAAGTAAAGTTAAGTTGGCATTCTTGACAAATACCTAGTTTATTAATCAAAAATAGATCTGGAACAAAACAAACTCTTAAACTTATAATCAAATATGCTAATTGAGTCTGGTGATCGTTCCGAAGATACGGCATACTTCTGTCCTTTTTTGCCATGCAAGTAGTACATCTTACACGCTCTTTCAACTATCCGATAGAGTTTTTAACAATTAATTTATAATGGGCTCTGACTCCTAGCAGCTCGCTAGTAGTGCGCAGTTTCGGTTGGAATAAGGAATGAATGTATTAAAGTGTTTATATTGTTTCTTAACTTAGACAACTTCAACATCAACAACATCAGCTTCGTTTTCACTCAATTATATGCATAAGAAGTTTCTTGTGATCTGACCCAATAGCTAAAAATATTTTTAATCTGGATCCGGAGCCGGACCCGATGAACTCTAACTCGAAGCAGTCGATCGTTTGACATTTTACTTTTTTCACCAGTTAATAACCAACAAGTAGTCTGTTTGTATATATTTTATATCATCATGGATTGTAGCTTTAAAATAAGAATGTTCTATGCATGGATGCACCATATTAAAAACTCTCATTCCAGAAAATTCTTCTTTTGTTGTATCTATTAAATCTTGAGTATCATCTTATTCATCTTCATTATCGTAATCATCAATTGAGGAAAGCCATCATTAATGCTAAGATCAGCTACTGTTCTATTATCTTCATCATTATCACCATCATCAACAAATAATCAGCGGCCATTGACCACATCAGATAATGTACTTCAACAAATTGCATCACCAAATTTGATACCTATTATAGTACCATCAGATACAATACAATCGAATTCAACTTCAATCACAGTATTTTCTATATCCAAATCAACAGAAGATGAAACTTGTGATATTAACATTATCGAACAACCATCATCATCATTAACAACTAAAAGACAAGTGAAAAGAAAAGTTCAAACAATAGAATCAGCAAAAAGAGCAAGAAGAAGATAATTTTTATATGCCGCACATTGTCTTGTTTGGACTTCTTCGATCACTTCTTTCGTGTTCTCTTATATAGTAAGGTTTTATATTAAATTGATGTTTTTAACTTAATAATTCACTTATTTTTTTCTTTTATAGTTAATCGATTCTATCAAGTGTTGAATTTTTATATTTTTATGTCCGTTTGTCTTTTATTTTATTTTTACATTTTACAATTGGTTTTTAAACAAACAAATCATATAAATAAGAAACTTTTTAATATAAATATTTCTTGATTGATTCCTGAAGTCTTCGCGAATGTTCTTTTTGTTAATTTTTTTTCTCTACTCTCAACAGACAATTGAGAAAATGAAAAATATCATATTTTTATAATTCTAAGAGTTTCACATCAGAGTGGATTCAAGGATTCATGGATTATGCTGTGTCCCCCTTGAAGTTTTATATATTGTAACATATTATTTTATTTCACAAATATTCATTCGGGAAAAATTTATTTCGAACAAAACGTTGATTTCTTTTATTTTCTTTCAGAAATGACTGATTCTGTAGATCTCTTTGTGAATGCTCTTCACGCCATTGACAATGAAAATTTCAATGAAACTGTTCGAGTAAGTACGCATGATTGTTGTAATTAATAGCTACTGTTATTGATACGTTTAGATTCTTACTACGGTTATAGATCTTTATCCAGATCCACTGGAAGAAAAAAAATAAGCCAACCGTTATTCGATTTTTGAAACACCGATGTCAAGCATATTTTTCACTTGATAATCATAAAGGTGAGCAATAAATTGTTAGAAATGAACAAAGATCTGTTAGTAATAATCTCTCTTGTTTTTACCGCACTGCTCTATATATTCTGATAGAACTGTTATCATTAGAATCTTGTTGCTTGTTGACTAAACTGAACTTATTTTTAGATACTCTAATTGATCTACAACGGCTACGAAGTCTCGGATTTAAAGTAGGTGATGATGAATCATTAAGCACGTTGTTAGTGTAAGTTAACAGTCTGATTTCAGACAATACTCATATAAACATTTTTTTAGTGAATCGCGTGTTTATAATTTTGTTGTTAATATAAAGGAAGATTTAAACGTATGCACAAATAAATGTAAGTGCACCTGTCCTGAGACCATACGTAGTATCGAACATGATTCGTAGATGAAGATCATCTTTTTTCGTATAAGTATCTATTCCATCTGTAATTAGATAATCGTTATGATTTGAATACAAATCGTGACCGCTTATTCTTAAAAGTTCATCAGAATCACAGAAAGTTATGATGTTTGTTATTAGCGGCTAACCCTCGTTATATTTTTCTTTCTTTTCTTTGATCTGAACTATCTCAGGTCATTCTTTATTTTGCACTTATATTTCTATTTTTTTTCCAAACCCTCGATATATATATATATATATATAAATATATATCGATGTTTTTTCTGCCAGTAGTGTGTGTGTGTGCGTATGTGTGATGTTTGTTTTCGATTTGAAATAAATAAAAAAGAAATCGAACATAAATCTCTCTCTCTCTCCTTATGCGCTAATACTTGTGAAACGTTTTTCTTGATGAAATTTTAGAGTAGTTCATTCTTACATACTGTTCAGTGAAAAAAATGCTCTCATTTCTCTTTTGATTACTCTAAATTGTAGACCGTTACATATCATGATTCATAAAGTATTCATTTTACATTGAATTATTTCATTTTGAATCTACGATTACGTTTTGACAGTCTATAAGCATCTATCGAATGAATTTTCTTATATTTTCTTATTAGTGACCCATGTAATAAAAATCGCATGAAAATCGGCGGTTAACCGCAAAAATTGATCCGGTATTCGCAACATGGGAATACGCTTAATATTTTTTTATTTTAGTTAAATCAAGCTGGTTTGCAAATTCCTTGTCAAAATTCGACAATTTTGACTACAGCTACCCAGGCCGAACATTCCGGCCACCGAATCCCGTATGATACTCCAGGAAATATGCGGGAAAGTCACCATATCCTGCAGGAAAACACGGAAAATCGCTGGAACATGGAAGTAATATTCCGGTCAAAAATACGGCCGAACTTTTCCGGCGGATTCCTGTCAAGTGCCGGTGCTTTCCGGCAGGAATTGATCCGAAATCACCGAGAAAAATGCGAACATTTTCCAACCGGAATACTGCTTCCACAAAGTCAACGGAACTACCCGGAACCGGCCGCTTCCAGGCCGGACTCTTCGACCTGGGTATTTTTCGTAGAGTAAGTTCTGTAAACCTCAAAATTCAATTGAGATTGCTTGGAAATAGCATAGAAAAAAGTTGTAAATTTCGAGCTATTCAAGCGTACAATTTAATCGATGTGGTACAGTAAATTTTTTGTTCGCTAATGAGAATCATATTTTCATATTTATGAAAAATGTTCGTTTCATTAACTGGAATTCTTATTTTTCTTATGAGTAGTGTAGAAAGATTTTTATAGAATTTCACGTCTAATTTTTTGAATTCAATACATTTATTAACTGTATTTTTTCATATCTATCGATAGAAAACCAAGAAAACGAACAGCTGTATATGCAACAAGTTTAAAAAAAACAAAAACAAAAACCATAAGCGCAGAAGAATTCATATTTGTGTGTGTATACCAAATATGATGCATTCGATAAAAAAAAAAGCAATTTTTGTGTGAAAAGTAAAACTTCAGTTTGAATATTGAATTTGTTATATTATATATTAAAATAAAATAATATAAAATAGGATTTAATTTTGATAATTAAACACAACATGTTTTTCAATGTTTTCTTTTTTATTTTAAGCCATTTGAATTTCAATCATTAAACAATGACTTAATGAACATAGAATACTAATATAAATAAAAAAAAGTGAGGTTTTTATGTGGGAATCGTTGAATGTTGGTCGAATGTTTGTATATGTTGTGTGAACTCTGATGGTGTTATGAATGAATCTTAAGTCGATGAGCCATATATGTTGGGAAGAGTTACCTGATAGTTACTGTTTGGTAGATTTTGTTTTGGTTCTGTATTGGTGGATAGTTTAATTCAATACTATTGGTTAGATTTATTTTCCATATTTTATTTGTTTTGGAGTTTGAGTCATGCATTTATGGTGATTCGAATTATGTAGTTTATAGGAGATATGGTATCTTCTCATGAACCTCATTCAATTTCGATTATGTTTGTTTTCGATCTCACTGAATTTCACGCCGGTTGTGCAGTATATGGTGACAAATAAAAAGAGTTAGCCGTTGGAAATGGAACGGAGGAATATATCAAAAAAATGGTTCTTAAAGTTGCGGTATTTCACTGAAAAGGTTTTTTAATTTACAAACTGCGATCGTTGTTTTGTTAAATGAACTCATCTGGCGGCTTTTGGATTTGTTTTAGTTCTTCACTAGATGATCATGGTATCAGCTTATTAGTGTATACCAGTTTTTTTGATAGAGTCTTAAAGCCATGCTCTTGTTGTGTTTTATTCTGTAGCTTTTTACGACTGATTCCGAAGCATCCGGTTTCAGTAGAAAGTTCGTCAAATGCAATTTTTTTGCTAGATTGTTGAGAAACATACGATGGGTCGTACCGGGTGAGCTGCGATATTATGTTTAAATGAAGATTAAACATAGATGTAATGAGCTGAAATTTTTCCTTAGAAAACACAGGTTTTGAATAATATGTTTAGAAATTACATGTGTTGAGGAAGGTTATTATAATTGGATTGTTTTGCTTTTTTTCTTCCTTTTGTTTTTTATAAAAAATTTTATTGATTACTTTTCGATTAGAATAATTAATTATTTAAGACGTTTCGGAGGTATCTTCCTCGTTCTTCAGTTTTTTATTTATTTGGTTTTATGTTTTCTTTTTACTATTTACAATACGTATCTGACTATTCTTTTTCTTTTTCTTTAATAGTGGAACGGAATGACAAGCCGGTAACACCGATCGATAAAACTTATATGTTTTGACGTTCCGTTCCACTATTAAAGAAAAAGAAAAAGAATAGTCAGATACGTATTGTAAATAGTAAAAAGAAAACATAACACCAAATAAATAAAAAACTGAAGAAGGAGGAAGATATCTCCGAAACGTCTTAAATAATTAATTATTCTAATCGGAAAATAATTAATAAAAATTTTTATAAAAAAAAACAAAAGGACGAGATAAAGCAAAACAATCCAAATATGTTTAGATTTCGAAACCATTGTAGCTTTATTATTGATTGTTTTTTTGTTGCTTGGTCTTAAACTGTTTTGTGAATTTTAATTTGCATGAAAGTGTTTCGTAAGTTCAATAGCTTATTATAAATGAATAATATCTTTTCTTTTATGGATATTTTTTCAGTGGTGTATCACTTGTCTTTCTCAAACGATGTGTCAAGGTAGATATCTTCAAATTAACTCATTTTTTTTCGGGTGAAATTTTCCTTTTCGATCAGTTTTACTTATTATTTTTGATTCAAGTGGTAAGTCACTATAGTAAGAAAGGTTAATATTCTAGTTTGAAAATTTCATTATTTTAGGAAGTATACAGTACTCAAGAAAGTCCTGAATCACTTGTTAACTACAGTTTAACACTGTTATAAATTGTGCATTGACTTTAAAAAAAAATTTCGAAGATAAATCTTATTTTAGTCTGTCACTCACATAATTTTTACAAAAAGAATTATTAATTTTATTTAACGTTCTTCTAGCTTTTTACTAGTCTTGCGATACATCATATCTATCTTTTGGTTTTAAAGCAAGTTGAAAGTTTGAATAGACTTGTTTCATTTGTTATCATACAACCATCTACTGTAAATATCAATAAGAAAAACAAATTTGATATAACTTGAACTGTATTGATGAAAAAATCATCTCTTCGTTCAGTTATGCTTCATTATAATTATGTTTACTTGAACGTATCAGCCTATACTTCGAATCTTATATCACTTGATTTGTTAATATCTGGCTCACCGAATACAGTATCAGTATATTCGATTTTGACAATTCTTCGTGTTTGTCGTAGAATACGATGTCTACATGCCATCATAAAACATGAAATTCCATCTGGAAATAATAATGAAAAGTAACTTGCACTGAAAATGTTCTACAATATTCTACATAAAACAAAATTTTTAATATAATCTTTCCTTTTTTTTCTTTTAGTGTTTCAATTCAAGAACTATTTATTAATGAAAATGATCTTCCTATATCACCATAATTGACATCCTTCAATGCATCAATTTTTACCACTTGTGACACTTGTTCAATCGCTTATATCTTACGTTGTATGCCTAATCTTCTTCATTTCAAGTTTCTTCATGAATCACGAGAAGTGGTCTGCCATCTGCTTATAATTTGGTCAATTGTTATACATGGCAACATATGTTTGAAATGAATGTTTCATACTTTATCTAAATTTGATTTTCATATCTCAATTTTGAAAGAATATCCAAAATTAGATTTAGACATGGTCGTAAATTCGTTTCAATATTTCGTTCAAAAATATCCCGAATGTCAAAGATTCACGTAAGTAAAATTACTTTAAACGGGAGAGAAAGAATGCAGAAAAGTCGTCGTCAAATAGGAAGGCAATCAGGAGAAGAATTTCCTTCTATATTCTGTATTTATCTTACGATAGACAGTTTACAAGAATAAGAAATTACCCAGAAGATGAAAACACCTTCAGGTTGAGGCTGTATTAGAGAAGTAATGGTACGAATCCTAGTTCAATAAGAGTGTGCATTCATGAGATACTTACCAAAAAAAGCATAACAAAAATATTTAAAGTCAACTGTAATAAGATGAGGAAAGGAATATTCATAAAATATCAAAAGCAATGCAAAGAAAACCAATTATTTGACAATGACGACTCAAACATTGAACCTATGAGAATCTGCTTATCCGGAAACTAAACCTTTTGAACTGAAAGGTTTTTTCTCTTATAGTGGAGCATGTTATGTTACGCACGATTGGTTATCATGAATACAAAAGAAATCTACCAATAAATATTCCACTGATTAATTATGAATTATTTAAGACACGATCGACAAAAGCAACAAATGATCATTACCTTTACTATTCAGACATAAAATTTTTAAAATAGAAGACGACAAATATAACACCAAGAACTGTTTGTTCTTTTCCTTTATTACAACAGATCAATTCTCTTGTCGTAGATATGCGAACAATATGTTCCTCGTCGTGGAGCTAGTCATTGAGTTTTGGTAAGAACAAAACATTTGATTTGATTATTCTTCGCATCGTTTTTATCCATTATTTTTATTTTTTTAGTGAACTACGTTCAACCAAATAACGATGATGATGATGCACAGCAATATGTTGCTTATCTTTCAAATATTGTTCATTTTCCCAATGTAACTAAAATTAACTTTGAAACGATTGTTGGTACAGCTGGATCTGCAGATATTTTATTTATTCTACAGTAAGTTTACTTGATATTGGTGGAAAGCCATTATTCCTATTTTGATTTCTAAATCTATGAGTTATTTTTGATAATTCTAACAAGTTTTTCTCGGTGAATAGTATGATTTTATTTCAGATAGATATTGAATCCTAGAATAATAATCGTTGACAATAAAGTTTAGTCTATTAAGTAGATTTTTAATTTTTCAATTTTTAGAGCATGTCCAAATGTGATTGATCTCAAAATTAGTCCTTTTATGTGTATTTAGCATCGATAATCGACAATCAATCTCTTAATAGAATTTTCAAACAAATTAAAATACTCAATTTAAGAACTCAAGATTTGGTAACAATCATTGTTGAACGTTTTCTATCACTTACTGATATTGAAGTTCAAGTGGCTTCATTCAAGTATTTTACATCTGCTATTGACATATTACTTAGTCACCAACAAAATTTGTCTTATCTTAACATTTGCTATAGTACACCTCCAATATTCCACCAGTCTTTTTCACGTAATGACATCATTGATAAACGTCGTCAAGCATTTGGTTTTAAGATTATCGATGAAGATAAGGTTACAGTTAGCAGGAGAGAAGGATTTATACAAATTAGATTATCATGATTTCATATGTTTTTTGATTGTTGTATAACTTCGGAAATTAGATGCATTATATAATGTTGAAAAATAATTGTAATATTTTGTAATTTCCATGAATCATTATTGTATTCAATTACGAACATGAACAATAATGCAAAGACATTTCGATTAGCTACAGATCTAAAGCTAGATTTTTATTCGTTTGCATTTATTTACATAATCGGTGTGCAATTATGTTGATCATGATCATTGAGTTGTTTATGAAGTTTTTCAAGTTACATTCGGCGGCTGCCAGTGGATCTATGCTGTTACTGCTACGAAATCCATAGGGTGTGTGGACGTTTTCCTATCCCTCATAGTCGTACCCCAGCCAAGCTCAACTCTGCCAGATAGTTTGTATATTTTAATTAAGCAGGAAATCTTTAGACCAAACCAATAGAAGTCTTTTCGTGCAATTTTTGTAGAGCATTTTATGGCACATCTTTAAAAAATGCATTTAATAATTTACTATTCCCGATAACCAATATATATATATGCAAAACAAAATGTGTTGTAGTCATTGTTATAGAAACTTGTTATTTTCTATCCTTGTTTCTCTGAAACGCTGAAGCAATGGCGCGAACACTTCTACGGTCTCTACCTACACTATGACTCTTACCTATGAGTACAGTGTGAACTTGAACGGAAGTTATCACTTCGATATGTTCCCTCGTAAGCAATGGCAAGATAAATTTTATTTTGCATGTTGTTTTTTTAATGATTTGGTTAGAGAGTAATTGAAATTTTTTATTTTCATATTTTTATATAAATATTCATGTTTTTATTGGAAAGGACCCTTTTAATGACAATATTCTTGCCATTAATATTGATACATATGCATAAAATCAACGGGAGGCGAACTGATTTCTAATGTTAGAAATCACCAAAAAAAAACAGATTGTGCCAATATGGCGTAGAGTTAAAATCCTGGTATCGACGCCTAAATGTTCGATATTTTAAAAATACTTTTATTAAAATGAATTTATTTCACAGCTAATATTTTTAAAATATGATCATATTAATTTCTTTGTACACATTGTTTCCTCACAACAATACACAAAACAAAAAATGCTTTTCTATTTTACTTGTAACATAATAATAATCACTCTATTATTGCAAAGGGAAAATAATCTTTACAACATTTTCGATACTCGAATTTTCCTAATAAAGTTAGTTCATTTACTTTGGTACAATTATTCGTGTATCATCTCTTGTAAAATCATGTGTGGCTCTTTGTAATAGCTTCATAATCGATATCAAGAAGAATATTATTTTGGAAATATGTTTTCGTATTACATAGAAATTCGTCAATATAATCATCATGAGCTCGATCTATATGAAGTTCAATAAGATTATAATATTTAGCAATTGATAAATTCGACTTATCATTCATTAATTTGTAAGATTCTTTCTGATTTTGTCCATAACGATTATTGATAATTAATTTTTCCACACATGGACATGGTTGAGATATTCGAATAAAAAGATTCATGTTCGCAAGGGTGTTCATCATATAATGATACAACGCGAACATATGGATATAATCCATCTGCAAAATGATTTGTTATATATTCGAAGCGTCGCATCAAGAATGGATATGAATAAATATGACATAGACCCTGTTGATGGTCTAGAAAATAATCAACACACGATATTATTTTCGTATATTGCAAATCGGTGACTGTTTGTTGAATGTCTTCTTTCGATAAGTTCATTTCATTATTAATATACACATAACCGAACGAATATCAAATGTAAATTGTTTGAATTGTGACATATGATCAAGAATATTTTGCTTCAAATTGTTTCCATGAAAAAATGTTTCATCAACAGTGGTCATGAAAGACAAGCCAAATTCTGCTAAATTTGACATTCGATAAATGAGTGGAAGAATTCATTCATCATAATACGCTGTTCGTGACATACAAGAGAAAACAAAACACTTCAGACTTGGAATTTTTCTCTAGAGAAACAAAAGCAAAAACGAAAATGAAATCAAATTTACTCTCTTGTAAAACGAACTTGATTTTCAATTTCTTCTATTGGAAGAAAAAGATTAGCCAATTCAATATCGAGTGTATGAAGTTGTTCGAAACGAACGACCATCGAGAATATAAAGACACATATCAAAACTTTTGATTCAAAAGTTTGAACCTCGATTTTTTAATAGGAAATGGAACATCAAATAATAATCGAATATTAAATGAGTTAAATTGATAAACACAGTAAAGAAATTAGGATAATCAGCAGCATCTAAAATGTTTCCCATAGATTCAGATTCAAGATTCAATCATTTGATGTTCGTACGAATTGTAGACAAAATTTGTGAACAAAATCGATTAAGTATTATATCAGAAGAAAATTTCTTGATATATTTCTTGAATGGCAATCGAAGAAAGCTTAAACGACTTGTAAATATTGGATCATGCATAATTTCATTCAATCGTTTGTTGACTCCTTGAAAAGAATAAAGTACTTCAAGATTGTCCAGTTTTTTAAAAATAATTAGGAGAATTTTATCCGGCAAATCATTCAATTCGACACATGAATATTTCATATTTATTTTCATTTATTTGTTTTTTGTTGGACAGTTGAAACGTCAATATTTATAGTCTTCTTTTATTAGGAGTCAAACAGACTAGGCGAATTGAAATTGAATGAAGCAATTAGATTACATTGTCTAATCCAGTTCTAATTCGTCTAGTCTCTTTGTCTTCTTATTCTATGTGACTGACATCGAAGAGCAATAACTATGTCTTTTTTTCAATCGTGGAAACTTTTGGATTTTCTACTGTATTATCATTTATCTCTCATTTATATTTGTATAAATGACTACTAAATGTTTACTTTATACACAAGCAAAGATGCGCTACGAAATAAAAGTAGAATTATCTTCATTTATTAACGAGTACCGTCTATCATAAAAAATACCTCTGTTAAGCACTTACTTTTCGTTGCAGTTCAAACATTATTCAACCGATAACTTTAGATCACGGTTTGGACCTACTGTAGAACGAGGTGATCTCACTATCTACAAACGAAATGACAACGTACAACACTTTACTTATCATCTTTTATCTGATTTTCAAAAAGAAGTTAGTAATACAGTAGAGACAGATTTAGAAATTGAAATATAATTATGTCATAACCAAACGACAAGTCCTTTTCGTTCAGAAAAATTAACATGAAATGGATTCAAACGATATTTGAGATGAGTATAAATGATGAGCCATTCAAACGGCGCCTCCTTCCACAAGTGTGCATCTCCATTCCGAGCTTGAAGACATACTAGGCGAGATAAACCAACATTGTCTACGTCAAAAATATTAATCAAACATTCTTTCGAATTCCTTGATGGAAGAACTATCGACAAAAAACGAAGATTTGGAAATTGATGCAGAACGTTAAGAAGTTCTTGTTCATCGCGCAGTGGGCGAAACAGATTGAATTTGTGAACTTGGCCATGAACAAGAGTGGAGAATGGTGCATTTAGAGCGAGAGGAGTTTTATCTATTGGAAAATAAAAGACAAAGAAAAGTTAAGATTTGCATTGAATATAAAATACCTAAATGAAATCTATTCGCACTAGCTAATATTCTTCATATTCTTCTATCGCGTAATGGAAGGAGTTCTTTTTGCAGATCTCACTAGAGAAATCTTTTACCAAAGCATTGTTTGACTATTGTTCCAAGACAGATATGTCCAGTTACCAGGGAATATGTCTGAGTAATTACCTGTAATTTTCAGTGAACGTAAGGTAAGAGGCATCGATGTGCGCACAACATCGGCATCGCTTGTTTTCAGCGTCTTCAAGTGCCGAAACATTGCAAGAGATGGTAGTTTTGTTTTTGCGATGACTTCAGTGACATTGAGCCAAGGTTGGAGTTGTGACACCATCGCTTCGTCAGTGACGTTTAAGGGTCTGATGGTAATGCTCTTGGCCGTATGTTGATATATCTGTTGATAGTCGGTTGGAGGCACCCACAAATGAAGTGCATTCCATGACCATGGTACTGTGTACAACAACAAACTATCAGATCGTTTTACTTTGAAGCGAGTAGAGTTGCTACTAGTCAATTCAGTCTCTATGTTAGTTGAAAGTGGTACTGAGAAACTGACTGCGTAATGAAATTCGACGACATTATTTAGCAATAAGCCTTCGACGAGTGAAAATCGAGCAAAGGATGTATCAGTTGTTTCATAAATGCGCACATACAGATGCTAAAGTTTAATCATTCCGCGAAGAAGATCGGCGAAATAATGGAACATTAGTCCACTTTTCATCACGACTAACGAGAAATGAATTAAGTAATGGTGAACAAATGAAAACGTTTGTAATTGATGTGCTAAACATAAAACAGAACATTTGTCTCCAACACTGAGACTGAAAACGAATATTTCATCATCCGTATGTCGGAGTCTATGTGACAAATTATAGGCTATTTCCACTTCTCAGAGTTCACATAGGTTACGAAAGATCTTTTCGCGCTTTTTTTTCTTCTTTCAATAGTTAGATCTTTGGCCAATAATACATCATCAAGAAATAAAAATGTGTTCTACTCGAGAATAAACTCATGAAATGAGAATGATAGAACCCTGCAAATTGTCGAGTTCAACAATAATTACTTTTACTCACTCGATATTAATCAATGACGATAAGTTACAGCGGTCTTGCGTTCGTTTCAAATCAACACGGAGATTTCTCACAAGAGGCATCAATTCCTTGATGAACAATAAGACCAAATCGTCTATTGTATCAAGTTGAAGACAGGCTCGGTCGATTTGAGAGGTGAAGCGCGGTCGTAATTGATTGTGTAGCACGAGACCAGATGTTGTGACTAGGTTTAATTTGCGTAAAAGACTCTGCCATCTTACTAGTGAACAGGGGATTCCGGAAGGCGGCCAAATCCGGCGGCACCATTCTGGAGTGATCTAGAAGTCATTGCATGTAAGTCACGACCGACATTGCTCAATAGATTTCATGGATTTGGCTGATATTTTTACACTGGCTACCTCTAACAAAGTTACCATTGTTAGGGCTACCCACTGTAAAAATATCAGCCAAATCCACGAGATCGATTGAGCAATGTCGGTCGTGACTTACGTGCAACGACTTCTAGATCACCGTTGTAAACGCTTAAATCTTCAAGCTTCGATTGATTCGAGAGCCAAACAACAAGTGAAGAACTTATGTTAGTGCACGATTTAAGAGTGAGTTTGCGTAGATTGTTTAATGGAAGTCGATGACATAATGATAGAAAATGTTCAACCAAACAAGGAATTTTGCTGTTACTCAATGTCAATTGTGGTGTTTCCAAGTAAGGCAAAAGTTCATCGACCACGAAACGAAACTCTGCGTAAGACAGAGTGCTCAACACAAGATTCGTGCGATAACCGAGAATGAGACGATGCAAACGATCTGACGTGCTCTTGAAAAAGGCACGAAGAACGTCAACAGGTTGAAGATAACGACAGATCATCAACAATACTTCGTCAGGAAGATCCAACAGATGACTAATGCGATTGCATTTGCCTACGTAAAACAAAAATTGACGTCACCTAGTCATATTCAGCCTTCACCGTACATTTGATCTAATAACCTAAACTTTGATATATGTCCAATCTCATATGGATGAACAGTTTCTCGAATGGAAAGTTTTTAGGCAAATCAATATTTGAACAAAAGAATTTCCAGCATTACCTTTTGTATTCAGTCGAGCAAATTGCGAATGACTGTAAGGAGAATTAAAACATGGTCCATGCCGAAGGAAATACCAATTGAGTAGCAACATTTCGTCGACAACAATCAAGTCGAATATTGGTTTCGATATTTTATATAGCTCTATAATGCTTGCGTGTCGCTATCGGCCAGTCTTTGTTTCTGTTGGAGGCCACTTCGTTGAAGAGCGGCGGACGTCGTTCTGTCATTTGTTAAGAGGGTGGGGTGTGAGCGTTTTTTCTTTTTCCTTCTTTGCGTCCACAACCCCAATGCTATGTCAATGAGCATTTTAAAAAACAAACGATTGCTTCCGAAGCTCATCGAATTGTGAAATCAAACAAAAGTTGCATCACGGTTTAACTATAAATTTCAAACAAATAAAAGTAGCCTTTGCTTTTAAAAGTACAACTAAAATGCATAACAATTAAATATAACGGTTTATTCTTTGAAGCGATAGTCGAATTACTACGCTCAGCAGTCAGTATTCAATACCCAAAATAAATGTAGCTCCTGTACTAATAGAAAAAAACGAACCTTTTGAGCAACGGAAAAAACGTATTGAAGACAATGAATAGATGCGATTGTTTTAGAGCATTTAGAAAAATCATGTTCTCCAACCTCAAGTCAAAACTTCCTTTGAATACATTTTGAAAGGGTGTGAGTGTTTAAGTGAACATTTATGATGAAAGTCTCTAGATCTCTGTCTCAAGAGAGGATCTTTCGTCTTATCATTTTTTAAATTTATGAGGTAAAATGAATAATATTTTTTTTCATATTCAACGATACAATCACATTTCTTTGAATGCAAACTTAATTGACAAAAAAAAGAAAAGCTTTATGGTACCCACATGAGAAGGTGATCTAATATTTTTTGCGTTAGCGCATTCACTGCTGCTGTTAGTGATACAATTCAAGATACGAGTAAAAATCTCAGAAGTGATGATCTTTCTCTGCGGTTGATCGAAAATATTGACTTTTTTTTATACCGAACCTTTTGTGTAGAGACTTCTATACACACCTATAAGATTCTGAGACGCAATCGATGTACTCTGTAGCAAAGTTCCGAAGTTCAAGAGAAGCAATTTCTCTTTTTTTTACACACAACAATAGAGAAACTATATAACTTGCATTTTACTAAAACTAATTCTTGTTTATTAAAATTTAAAAAAAACGAGAAAATAAGTTTGATTATAATATCAATAAAAATACCAAAGCAATTTCACTGAAAAGATTCTCTCGTGAAACAATTTTTATGTAGCCAATTCAACGAATCGTCACCTGATCTAGTACAATGGGTGCTCTACCTATCGTAGCACGATTCTCTGGATGTCGAGTGTCACGCAACGGTTGAAGAATGACTTTATCAATGTCTTGCCAGTTAAGAAGAACAAGTTGTGGTTTACACCAGAGAACTGCTGTTGTATATTTGCTGACCAGTATTGAATTTCGATGTCCTGTGATCAATAATTGCATGCCATCGTTCCACGCACCATATACAGTAAGAGAAACAAATGTAAAAATTCCATTTACATTTTCAGCGCTGATCGCTGCTTTTTCTGTAAACCAGGCCACGTGTCGACTATTGCTAGCTGTAAGAGAAGGGACATGTACATTGTTCAGAAGATTTTTCTTCAGGTGTAATCTCTGTGTATAATAAATTTTATTCCATTCCAACCCTCTATACATATCTGGAATAAAATTAGACTTCTGATCAGCCATGGGTAAATCATTGAATGTAATCTTTGCTTTCGTTATTGAAGGAACTAAATGTACAATTCTTCAATTACTTTCATTCAGAATCAAACCTGATGAATCGCTTACGCAATAGGCGCATTTCATGTAGTTGAAGAGTGAGTTGCCTTATCTGATGTATATTTTCTTTAGTTTGTTCTCTTAAACAAATGTTTTCTGTATGCGTCGTAGCAGCATCAACTCGTTTGTAAACGAGTTTGCAATCTTGACAAGTTAATTCAATTGCAGCACAGCCACTCGTATGATTATCGAAATCTTTCTTCAACACTTCAGATCGGCAGCCAGAACATTGTTGAGGCTGATAGTCACATTCGCTCTCGTGTTTGTCCAGTGCCTCATACGGAATGACCTATGAAGAAAAATGCAAGTGTAATGTTGATAATGTGATCATTGTCTGATTACCTGTTCACAACCTTTCGATTGATAGTAACAAGCAATTTGCAATTGACCAAGTAGTTTAACAATGAATGACGGACATTTTCGTTCGATATATATCTTACATCGATTTGGGCATTTCCCCGGATTAGCAGCAACCCATCGGTTAATACATGCTGAACAGAAAGATGTTTCACATCGTTGACAAGTAATTGGTATCCAGAGTAGAACATGACAAATCGGACACTCGAGAAGATCAACATTGACTGCCGATGAACCACGAACACGGTCAGAACATATACCTTTGTGTTCCTTGGATGCCATCTAAAGAATAGTAAAATATTGAAACAACAAAGGCAGCATGAGAAGAAGAAGAGCAGGGCGACTATTGAAAAAAAGCCGTGCACTATCAAATGGCTTATGCACTGTTAGTGGAATAATAATAAACTTTGGCGAAATACCACACTTCACAGAGATGAATAGCGTCTATACATATTTTTTCTCTCTCTCATACGCCAACTTGAAATATCCGACGGCAAGATACAACATTACAACACGTAGTTTTCTTCATTATGATTTATGCAACTGATAACATATTAAAATAAACAAGAAAGTATACTGCGATGTTTATGTAATTCTCTAGATTTTGAATACTTTTATCAGAATCTTAATATCAGAGAGATCTTCTAAACATAGAGCTGTGCATACACATTTTATCATCTGTCTGGAAATATGAAGCTCTCAAGTTGTAGAAGATTTATCAATCATGCAATTTCTTTGTGCAACAAAAAGAGTATTTCTTAATGTTAAACTGCTGCGTAATCAAACTACATTTTTTACTATCAATACGTAGAATATGTGACTATATGTGATTGGTTTTTCTTGAAGAAAGAAGTTAGTTAACTTATACACGGATGATCATGATAGTAAAGTGCTGTTAGAATGTATTTGAAAATAATGCATCATGAATGTAAGAATATGTTCATTTTAGTTGTCGTCTTATGTCAATGAACAAATCTGAAACTACTTTCTTATTATGAAATCAATCGTTCACTATATCACCCAATTTTAGTTTGGATCAACGAAGTAATCATGCTGATGATGAACATTTTTTTTTTGTATTTAAAACCATGAAGAAACTAGATAATTAGTTAAGTTTGTACGGCTAGTTGCTTCTGAAATATCGGCTCATTTTACTGAAATTATTATATTTATTAATTATAGATAATAGACATCCAAAAAAATGAATAGCACAAACATTATCAAATCGTTCAAGAATAATTGATAAAAAAAAATACAAGATCATTTGCATTGCAAAAAATGCTCTTGTAAAACGATTTTTTTTTCAAAGGTCTAAACCTATTGTCAATTGGTTTATCACAACTTGCGTGTCATTTGCACTTGTGGGACTGTCTGGATCTGTGGTACCACCAGATGACTTGAAAATGATCTTGTCAATATTGTCCCATTCGAGTAGAATATGTTGTGGTCGATTAACAAAAAGTGTGACTGTATGAGTGTCGATTAGTGCCAAGTTTCGATGTCCTGTGATAGTTAATTCTAGATCATTCTTCCAAGCAGCACATGCATCAAGAGAGATAAGTGTAAACGTTTCAGTGGTGCTTTCAATGCTGATCGATGCTTCGTCTTTCAAATAAGCTATATGTACACTACCACATGAATCAAACGATGTTACATATCCGCTTTTCGGGCATGTCTTAACCGCATATGATTTGTCCATATACGAGATTTTATTCCATGCCAGTCCTCTGTATATACTCGGAATATTCTTGCATTCCGCAGAAACACTAGGCAAATCATCGAATTTGATTGTCACTTTTGCGAACTCGGGATCTGAAACGACAATTGTCTTTTTATCAGCATTGAATACATTATATGACTCACTCAGTTTACACATTTTATCCCATAGATTAGTAAGTTTATGTAGTTCTTGTTTGTTCTGTTTAGATTCTCCACGAAGCTGTCGAAGTTGTTTACTCAAACAAATGTTATCTGTATGTTTGGTAGCAGTATCAACTCGTTTGTAAACAAGACAACAATCTTGACAAGTTAATCCAACAGATGCACAATTCTTCGTGTGATTATGAAAATCTTTCTTCAGTATTTGTAATCGACAGCCAGGACATTGTTGAGGCTGATAATCACATTCGCTTTCATGTTTGTCCAGTGCTTCATATGAGATGATCTAAAATGAGAGGGAAAAATACAATAACCACGGTGTGATTCTTTTGTGACTACCTGTGGACAGCCTTTTGATTGATAATAACAAGCAATATGCAACTGAGAAAGTAGCTTAGCAATAAATGGAGGACATTTTCGTTCCACGAATGTCTCGCACTGATTAGGACAATTATTTGGATTAGCGATAAGCCATCGATAGATACATACTGAACAGAAAGGTGTCTCACATGATTGACAAGCAATTGGTTTCCGGAGTAAATCATGACAAATAGAACATTCGAGATGACCTACACTGATGCCAGATGCATCGCAAACACGATCAGCAGATATTCCTTTTTGTTCCATGGATGTCACCTAAGCAAAATGAAAAATAAATTATTGACGTTAATGAAATTATCTACATGAGTTATAAACAAAATTTTGGCTTATATTATTCGAATTGGCGACTAAGTACAAATCTCCGGGTAAAACTCGACGTTGGTTTATTTTATCACAACATTTAGTCAAATTGAATAAATAGGAAAAGCCTTTCTCTTTTTTACCTTGCTGTGTGTCAATATTACTACAACCAAAGAATAAGACAACGCTTGAAATATTTATTTCAAATTCCTTCTGTCTATATGGTGACGAAAAATATGATTACAACGTTTGAGTCTCTCGCTTGTTTTTTTCCTAGTATATATACATGCTGTATCGAAGTTACCGCGGCCGTCAAATTTGTTGACCAAGGTGCAATTTCGACGGCCGCTATAACTACAATGCAACATATGTCTGTTTTGACCTTTCACCAATCTAACCTTCATAAATGTCACTGTTTTCACAAGAAAAATGTATGAGAGAGCCACTTGAGTTGGAAGAATTTCGGGTTTTCAAACAATTATTAGCCAAACAACGATATTTATAGTTTTGAAATTCTTACAGGCTCAGAAACACTAAATCATCCAATCATTCAACTTTTAGTTTTTCATATTAAAAATTATTCACACCCCACCTTCTCGATGTTCTTTTTAATAAGGATCAGTTACGCGTGTAAGTGTGAGTCTTTTAATTACTCACCTACATTCGTACCCAACACTTCGCTTATATCTATCATCGTTCTAAAGATAACTATGTATTAGGTATGACCAAAATTAATATTTATTATATTGTTGATGCATTTGACACATTTATAGATAATTCCGTCACTGTTATTTAATATTGAATTTACAATATGTTCATTCGTTACTCTTCTGCTTCGATTTATTACACTTCAAATATTGTTATTATTATTTTTGTTAGGTTAATTTCTGGAACTGATAGTTATCAATCTTGCCCATGTTCATGCTTTAACCGATGCCACAAATGCTCTAGTGATATTATTTTCGTCGATAGTGAACAATTAGTAATCCCATTTCTTCTGCATCGTTACATGGCTCACATCATTTTTATTTTGCTTTCTCTGTTTTTTCTTCGGCCTTATTTTGTTATATCGTTTTGGTCTATATTTTCAAAAAAAAAATAAAAACAATAGATGTTTCATAGTTTCTGTTTTTTTTCTGCAACTAATGCTAGCACACAGATCATACGCATCATGTACCCGATAGTGCTCTCTTTCTCACTCCTATTTTCTTCTACATATACTAGTATTTATTCCTTTACCTCATTGGAGATTATTAGAACGAATCCTTTGGCTTCGTTATCATTATTTTATATTGAGAGGCAGTAGACCATAATGTTAAATATTATATTTGTAAAAACAAAGTATGAAACTACTTGCCATTGTCACTGAACTACATTGTTTTGTAATTAGCAAAAAATAAGTACTTTCAAGATACTTTGCAAAATAAAACAAAACACTTTAATTTTCTCTAGTTCGCCTACTTTACTTGCAGATTGAACTAGGAACTTCTTTACTTTTCTTTTAGTTTAATTTAATCGTTGAAAATTCTATTGGTGTTTTTTAGGTTTCAATTTTTGTATCATCTCGTATTTTTCTTTTTAAAGTAATTAGTTGTAGTTGAATATATATATATATAATTTCGCGGTTAATTTGATATCATAATAGAAAAACAGCTACATGAGTAGCATATAATATTATATTTAGAATGAAATACATTAATTTCGACGAACCATTTGGTAGTAGTTCATTAAAAGTTGGTCTTAAAGTGCTCAATATGAAAAACATTACGAGAAAACTGCAACAAACATTTCCATCGTTTTTTAGATTTCTATTGAAAACATTAAAATATTATTCTTAATCAAAAAAGTAGTATGATGTCAAATATATTGAAAAATAATTATCTGAGATTTGTAATACTTGCTGGAAGATGTTTAGCAAGCACTGGAAATAATGTTAATATAGGCGATCAGATGAAAATTCTAAATGACAATAAGCAGTATAAAAAAGTTCTTGAATTATTTGATGCATTCAACGAAAACAACATTGATAAATGTTCCAATTGGATTGTTATTCAAGCTTTAAAAGCATGTACTCAAATAAATGATGTTCAGCATGGTTTGAAAATTCATAATCTTATTTCATCTCGTCTAAAACATGATCCTTATGTGTTACCGTCATTAATTCATTTCTATAGTAAGTGTTTATTGAAAAAACGAAGGAATAATCGATTCACTAGTTTTCATATCATAAAACCGTGAATCAATTGAAACTAGCGTATTTCTCCAGAAATTCTTCTAGGATCTTGTTTTGTCTCAAAATCATTTCTCAAATTATATTTGAACTAATCTATGGTTTCTTTCAATTAAAACAAATCGATATAAAATAGTTTAACGCTTTACTTAACAATGCACTTCCCAGGAGAATCAGGGTACGTCGGAATCGGTCGGAACCGATCAGTTTCGTTGAATTCCGACGATTTCCTAACTAACGGATTCCGGTCCAGATTTCGTCGGACCATTTCCGATCGATTCCCATCGATTTCCGACGAATTCCGGGTCGGAACTTCACGGAATTTTTCCGGCGGAACCCGGGCCGGGATCCGTTAGTTAGGAAATCGTCGGAATTCAACGGAGCCGACCGAAAAGCAACGGAATCCATAGGATCCGGTGCCGGAAACGATCGGATCCACTGGTCGGATTGAATCTCCTGGGATGCCAAATTAAACACCATTATGATAGAATGTAACGGTGAGAACAGCGAAGAAATTTTGCAGAAAGATTAAGTCTTCATGTAAACTTCATGAGTCAATTTCGAATATCAATTTCGAAATTAAGAGAAAACCACTTTCATATTTTCATAGCTCCAAAGAAAAGCTTTCTACATTGGAATGACCTCATTACAGCCGCAACGTAAATCCCAAGATGAACTTTATCTGTTGAAAAACAGAAAAAGATAAAGATTAAGTTTTATAAATTATAAAAGTCAATTTTTTTCTCTTTCTGATTTTCGACATAGGCAAATCTATGAGTTTATTAAATGTATACATTTATAAAAGTTGATCTTTATCTGTTTCTGCTTTTCAACAGGGATGCGACGTTAAGTAAAGTTGTTATTCTGCTATTCGGATTACTTCAGCTTGGAATCCGTTTTGTTTTCATTTATTTTCGAACTGTGAATAGCTATTCAGGCTTTCAATTGTATTCGAAATCGAATTATAAATCTAATCAATTTTTCTACAGGATGGATTTATATAACTTTATGAAACGGATTATAGTTGGTTTTGAGTTGCTAGGCGTTGGAAATATCTCTGGATTTATCTTTCCAGATTCAAAGATCACTTGAACTACCTGCTCGTAGAAATACTTGTGCATCACAATGGTCGATACCGAAAACCACACTGCTTCCAATGATGCAGACGCTCAGCTTGCCGCCATGGGCTACAAAGCTGAATTACCACGTTCGTTATCATTCTTTTCTGTGCTCGGACTATCCTTTGCCATTATGGCTGTGCCTTTCGGTGAATCGACAACACTTTCTATCGGTCTCACAAACGGTGGCCCTGTGACTATCTTTTACGGTTGGATATTCATTACTATTATTTCAATAATTATTGCTGCAAGTCTCGCAGAAATTTGTTCAGCATATCCAACATCAGGAGGTGTCTATTATTGGTCCGCAATTCTGGCAAACAAGAAATGGGGATCTCTTGCTTCTTGGACAACTGGTTGGTTAGGAATTGTTGGAAATTGGACAGTGACTACGTCCATTTGTTTTTCTGGTGGACAATTAATACTATCAGCTATTGATCTTTGGAATGAATCCTATGTTCCAGCTGCTTGGCATGTCGTCCTCATGTATTGGGCTGTCCTATGTGTAGTATTGTTAACGAATATCTTTGCTTCAAAACACTTAGATTTTATTAATACTGTATGTGTTTATTGGACGGCTGCTTCTGTTTTGATCATACTCGTTACTGTGTTGTCTATGGGAAAGGGAGGCAGACGAAGCGCAGCATATGTATTTACTGAGTTTGATGCAACAAGAGCTGGTTGGCAACCGGGTTGGGCGTTTTTCGTCGGATTACTTCAACCTGCCTACACTCTCACTGGTTATGGTATGGTGGCAGCCATGTGTGAAGAAGTTCAAAATCCGGAGCGAGAAGTCCCAACAGCAATGGTACTGTCTGTTGTTGCTGCTGGAGTTACAGGTATCGTGTATCTTATCCCTATACTTTTTGTCTTGCCCGATGTCGATACACTGCTTGCTATACCAACTGGTCAACCAATTGGTTACATTTTCATGACGGCAACAGGCTCAGCTGGTGGTGGCTTTGCCCTTTTATGTCTTATTGTTGTTATTCAGTTTTTTGCTGGAGTAGGCTCCTTAACAGCAACCTCTCGGTGTCTATACGCCTTTAGTCGAGATGGTGCTGTGCCAGGTTCACGGATTTGGGCAAAAATCAACAAGCAATACGATGTTCCACTCAACGCTTTATTATTTTCCACTCTGATTCAAGGTCTGCTCGGTCTCATTTATCTTGGCTCATCAGCTGCATTCAATGCATTTACTGGCGTGGCTACAATATGTCTTTCTGCTTCGTACGCATTACCCGTTCTGATACTTCTCATTAGCGGACGTCATTTAGTAGCTAATGCTCATTTTCGTCTTGGTAAATTTGGCTACGCTATCAATATCATTACGGTTCTCTGGATTCCACTGGCTATCATCTTGTTTACGATGCCAACAGCAATACCGGTGACGCCTTCAAGTATGAACTATGCCAGTGTGTTGTTCGTTTTCTTTGGTGGAGTCAGCGTTCTATGGTATGTCATTAGTGGAAGAAAACATTTCACAGGTCCACATGTACCTACAATTGATGAATTCGGAAAAAAACAGATGTTGAACATTGCTACTGTCAGTGATGAGTTAGCTGATCAAAACCGATAATGGCAATTCATTTTATGTAATGTAACCTTTGAATGTTTAGAAACTACGCGGGCTGAGGCTCAATAAAGGACATATAAGTTCTTGTTAATCTCAGTGTTTGCTTTACTGCAGTTGATGTAGTCGAAATAGTTACTCACGCAGATAACATGCTTAGTTCAATTTGAATATATCAAAATACACTCAATGTTTTTCCAACTTGTTTCATGCTTTTTATTTCAATATAAACATTCACCGCGAAGTTCTACATTATAGAATTAAGCATAGGCAGCAAAGGAGTTCACTAAGCTAGCAAGAACAGAGACACAGAAAAAAAGTGGGAATGTGAGAGTAGCATCAAGAACGTTATGTCAACATTTACCTTGTAAATTTATGAACACATCTCCAGGGCTCGCAAAACTGATAGTTATTTAGATTAAATGAGTTCTGAAATCGAAATCATCGTAAATGGGTTGTTGCCAGTTGACGAGTCCTAAGAACGGGATGTATGCAATATGAATTAAGCTAATTTAAAAATTTCAATGTCAGATGCAGTAAACTAATAAGCCCCAATGAAGGTATCCGTGCCTTTGCCAGTTGTATCAATGTATGAAAAAAGAAAAGCAGTATAGCTGGTATTGCTTATATTGCTATCACTGTTTACTCAGATGTAATTATGGCTGCGAAATCTTGGAGAATAACCAAATCCACCGAATATCGGACCATCATCACGATGATGATAAACCGCACATCCACGCTGACGACGATCAATAGGATATTTAGTCGGTTCAATCTTGTGAAGATTGATCAGAGTAAACAAAAATTCTTTATAATCATTCCTATGTGAGCTATCAGATGTCCAGGAAATAGATGTGTAATCTCCAAATAGATAATTCGCTTTTGATTGAATAATTGTCATTGTTGGTCCTTGATTGTCACAAAGTGAATGAAATGTTTTTGCATCGAATCCATCACGTGATGCTTTTTAAATTAAATCCCATCGTTGATAAATCTTAGCATAAAATTGGTTTAACTTCTTCTGATTTTCTAGTTGAAGTAATGATCCATTCGAAAAATAAATAACACCTAATCGGTCCATCAGACGATGCAAACGAAAATATTCGACTTCAACGATAAAACGTTTTAGAAGTGCTTTGCCATTCGTTATATTATCGGGAATCACTTTTGTGCGCAAATACTCGATAGAACATAAGAAAACATTTTACCATTCCGATCGATGAATATACTTTTATCGTCAGGATCTCTATCGAGTTGTCACTGTTCGGAGAAGAGTGCGGCGAACAATAAATTTTTGTCACGTGTTAATGTCTCGACACTTGCTGTATATTTTTCACCTCCAACATTGAGTAGAACCATGCCTCTGATTAATGTTGTGGCCAATTTAGTTTTAATATCTTTCTATTCATTCTCTTCATTGGATGCATTCATTAATTAATTTTCTAAAATTGTATTCATATCTGTTGCCTGATGACATAAATTTTTTGCAGACTTGACACAATCACTACATTCATTTAACTTTGAAATAACTTCATAGCGCAACTTGTCGAAACAATTTTCAAGTTGATTGATATTTTCTCGAAGACCTTTTATATTGGAAGCCATTTTTTTCTTATCAAGCTAGTATTTATAATGTTTCGTATTAATGAAGATCAATAAGCCGTTCTATTGCTATTTTTCCTGCTTCACAAATGTGAGGTATACAGGAAAAAATAAATTAAGCTGAGAGAAAGACAACATTCCAATAATCTAATGCATTTTTTTTGCTTCTTTGCCACGTTGTATTTTATACCGAAAGTCATGCAACGCGGACTTCTTTGATATACTCGCTAAAAGCTTACAATACGCTGAGGACACCGTCAATTACAACTTGTTCATTTCGTCGGTGAAAAAATGCAAGCTTCACCATATTTCAAAGAAATGTAATCTTGGTGTTGTTTTCTAAATAAATTTTTCGTTTAACAATTTAGAGGAAATCGTAAATATGACAGAAAATGTACACTTTCGATAGAAATCACAGAAAAGCACAAAACTTGGCTCACTAATAAGAGGAACATGGCAATTTGATGATATGAAGTTAAAAATCTTATGCAAAACTCATATCGATATACATGAACTACCTGTTACATAATCAGTTGTTTTCGTGTTGACTACAGTAAATGAATGTTACTCGAATGATTGCTAGAAAAGATTGCTGAACTGAAAATTATTTAATTCTTGGACTTCTTTATTAGTCTCAGATATGTCAATAATAGAATATATTTTAAACTATATAATTTGTATGTCTTATATATTAGTAGAGGCTATTTGATTAATCAAGTGTTTATATTTTGATACAGAGGGCGTTGGTCACTTACAGGAACATTTATTAAGGAAAGAGGATTAAAGGTATATTAAGCATTGACTTTTTTTTAAATTTTAGCCAGATTATTGGGAGAGCAAAACCAATATGAATTTCAAGTGACGATAAGCAAAAAGGAAAAATGTAAAAATAAACCGTTACAAATTAATATCAAGAGGGAACAGTTGTTATTGAAACCTCTTGTTAAATAAGAATCTGCTTTGTTTTTGATCATTTTATAATACATCAAGATCAGCATACAACAACCACAATTATCATTTAAATCTAGCAAAAGAAAAGGGTTCTCATAAAAAGAATTAATAGTAGTTTGGATGTTTTTACTTACATTTATGATGTACCTTCTTTATGAAAGACGACTACACGAATTTTATCTATTTCGCAATATTGAGGACTTTCCGAAGTAGATTGGTTGTGAACAACGACTTGCATGTAAACGTTAATGAAACGTGTACCGATTAAAAGCGACGTAGTGATTGATTGAAATCGGAAGGGTTTTTCAGTAGTTGTTAAAACTAAAAGTAGTTGAGCAAGAGAAACGCATATAAATCAAGTAGTTAAATAGCATTACCATAAGGTGCGGTGACTAATGGCCATCCGTTGGCATCAATAAAGCCAAACGATAATACTATCTGATTGCTTGGAGTTGACTGAGAACAGCCAAAGTAAACAGATACATTACATGCAACTTGTCCAAGATCAATCAACCGTGAAAGATTTCTCACGTCAATACCTTGACCAAGCATACTAATTTTTTTGGCCAAGAAGTAGCAGTTCCCCTCAACGGGCACAGGATACAAACTCGAATTGTCAACATAACGGTGAGTCAATATCAGTTCACGAGTAATGTGCATTTTCCATGGCGTAGGTGAATCTGGGGCCCTCATGCACTAGAGAGAAAGAGGAGAGTAAAGTATTGCAATATTTTCATGCTGCATGAATAAATGGCCGTTCTTTTCGTCTACTCTAGTTTACCTCTTCTTCAGCTCCACCATCCTGAACTACTTGCGTTGAATGAAGTGTCAAAGATCCATTTGGGAGGCGAGAGTTAAATACAATATTAGTAGTTGAGCCCGACTTTTGACCCAACAGATTATTTTCTGTAATGTCACTGCCCAAAAGATCTACATTGGTGAAATTCACGAAGTACAACCAGCTCGAGTTCGTAAACGATGTTTGTGCCAATGATGAACCCGAAAAATCAGTTTTCCAGTACATGTTCCTTTGAAATATTGCTTTTTCGAGATTTACATTCAGGAATTTACTGAATCCTAACGAACAATTGTAAAATTGACTTTGATCCATGACACTGTCTTCGAAGTTAGATCGATCGAGTTCGCATCCAGAAAAAATAATGTTCGAAGCTAATATTCTCGGTAAATAAACATCATTGAGAACACAACGGGTTTTCCTCGATGTCGCAAATTCGACTCCATTGAGATCGGCGCCACGCAAATCAAGCCGAAATTCGGGCGGAAAATCGTTTCGGATAAGTTTGTTTACATGTAAATAAAAGATGACGTCTCGTTTGTGAGGTGGATCGAGACGTTGAAGAGCAGTTATAACTTTCACTTGAATCGGTTGAAGATGATTAATATCACTTCGATTAAAGTTTGGACTGAGTAGAATTTCCGAAATCACATCGACGCAGTTATCAAAAATAGATTGTATGCGTTGTTCCGACGCTTGATGTTGTTCTTGTTCGTGTGCCACTGCAGCGAATGCATTCTGCTGCAGCGTAAAAACTACGGTGAATACGCCAAAGACAATTGATGGAACAACAGCTACAATCAAATTAACCCATACAGTGCAGCGAGCTAATTTTGATGATTTAGCAGCTGTAAACGTTGATACCACATCTTTAGCGATAGCATTCGTTTTAGTATCCTGTATCTGCATTTTGAATTGTGATCCAACTCGTCAAAGATGCAAAGAAGGAGTCAGTGAAATTAAAGTATGAAAGCTTGATGATATACTAGTCTATATATGTTAATATAACCAGCGTCTGTAGTTTTATCTATGTATTTGACACAATTATCAGTAGTTATTTTAGCTTTATCAATAACTTTGAAATGTTCATTTGATGATAACATAGAAGTGAGTTGTTGATCATCAATCCTCCGTAATATTATCAGATTAACAAATGTGCATTTATTTATTATCTAGCCCCATATGTTTTGTATCAAATAAACGAACGAGTCAACTTCAATGTTAGACAACATTGTGTTATGAATTTTTATGTGACGCCAATTTCATTTGACTAGATCATGAAAGATCGCTTGAAAATAATTCAGTATTGAAAAATGTTTTATCTCGAATAATATGTGCAGTCTTCGTTTATAATTGAGAAAAATAGCCAACGAGTTTCTTCCTCAGTTACTGTATCATGTTTCATAAGCTTTCATTAAAATTAACAAGAATTCGGCTATGTTTCAAAAAAAAGACAACTATTGACTTGACAATCTCCACACTGCGACTAGCGATTGAGAAAAATATTCAGTGTATGAAAGCTGAAAAGAGGCTTGTAATTAGGAGAATGTGTATGAATAGGACCATATTTTACTTTATTTACCCATATCTATGACAAAGAATAATTTTGACCTTGATAAGACTGAATTCAGCTTTTCTCTCAATCCAGCTATGTAAATTTCCTTGTGGAATTATATAAGATTTATTATTATGGTGATAATCAAAACTCATCCAAACAAATACTGCGATTAAAATATGGTACAGCTACTATTCTTTCTAAAAGCATTTAATTCATGTTTTCTCATATCATGACTTTCAACCGTAAAATTTGGTTTATGATTTAAAGTAGTTTGAGCACAAACTAGATGACTCTGTATATTATTCTTTTCATCTGCATCATTGCGGTCCGCTGTATCTTTAGCATTGCTATGCTAAGAAATGAAAATTTTCGTTAGTAAACAAGAGTTCATAATGAATATAGCAGCCGATTTTCATAGACCGTCTGCAGAAAAACCCATACAAAACATCTTGTAAGCATGATCTTCCATTTGAATTTCTGCAATGCGACGTTCTATATTTAGGACTCATTACAATTTTCATTGGATACATATTGGAAAGATATTCAGTTGAAAATGATACCCTTCTAAAACAACATCATATGTTCTAAATTGATCTTTTCATCTAAATGAACAATAATTTATCATTTGTCTGAATGGAAAAGCAAAAATTAGAAATTCTTCTAGTTACTTATTCGTCGAATCGTTGACTCTCTTAATAAAAAGATGTGCATACATCATCTGTCTAATATAAAAAATGTGTCATTCATTTATGTGCGTTCACCCTCGTATGTCATAAGCTATTTATTGTTTGTATTATTATGCTGAATGCTGTATAGAAACTAGATGGTATTCGAGTTTCACTCGACTACGAAATGCGGTGCGAAGCACACGAGCCGAATTTTCGAAAGTAGCGAGAATAAGATTTAAAAAATATATGATCCACTTTAAGATTCATTAGAATCGATTATTTTTTTAAATTTCCGTATACGAATTTTGAATAAAAATTTCGCATTCACTATTCTTAAATAGACCATTTTAAATTTCATCACTAGGAGATCTTTCTGAAAATGTAACAACCAGCTTTCTAACGATTTTTTTCATTGAACGATTAATTATTTTCAT